GGTCTATAAAAATGCGAAAAAAAAAATAAAACAAAACAAAAATCGGCTAATATCCAGGCATCTTGACCTCACGCTTGGTCAATCAACACAATCATATTTGTCAATAGTGATAATGGGACCGAGTGGAGTTCAGTTCGATCTGTAATGATACGAGTGCTTATCACGAGTATGACTACTGACGGAATTGGACGACACAAAGTCCTGTTACCAATCAGTCAAGACTATGACAAAATTTGAGAAGGGAACTAGACTCGGTTATACGTTTCCACTATTAAAAAAGGTTAACTCGGGGGCGAAATGCGCGACAACAGCGTGCGCATATAGCGCAAATCACGCGTTCTGTTCACTAACAAAAGCATGACGTTTAACGCCTCTTGATTAGCTCAATTGGTTAGAGCGCCGGACTGCTGTGCGGGAGGTCGAGGATTCGAGCCCCGGTCAGACCAACACTCAAGGTCTTAAAATCACTGAGGACAATGTGCTACCTTAGTTTCTATAATATCAAGAAATGGATAATCATTCTAGTCTTCTCCGATAAGGACGAATAAACCGTAGGTCCCGTATCCTGCATCTATTAATTAGTTAATTTGGTTAGGCAGGGGACGTTAGAGAACCCACTCGAGGGGATTACTGTGATGTGGTCTGGCCTGTTTACTAGGAATTGGGGAGGGGGGCATCTTCAAATAAGTTTCCTTCGATTGACTGTAAACTGGTGATTGTTGTGATGCGCATTTAATCATATCCAATTGTTAATTTGCACAATGTAAATATCAAGTTATTATTATAATTATCTTTACATTGTCCAATTATAAGCATGATGCATACACTGTCCTCCCTATTAGTGTTCAAACCAGGCTGGTTATGACCAATCAAGTTCGGAAATTTGGTTTTTGTTTTGATGAGGTCTGAAATCATACGCGTGATTTCAGAATCAAACAGGCACGCAGTGCGAATTGATTTGAAATCGGAAGTGTGATTTCAGACCAAAATTGCCATTTTATTACATTCATTTTGAAATCGCAAAATTCAGTCGCTCAGACAGGAGTTTTTATTCGTACAAATTTGTTCATAGATTCAGTACTGAGCTGATCAGTAAAAACTGTCTTTCATTTTCCTGCAATTTGATTGGTTAATTTAGACAAGCCTTGAAATCTGATTGGTTGTTGTATATTAGTACACATTTTTCATTGGATGAGAAAAAGGTGTAATTTAAAGCAAAAATATGGTGCGATTCGTTAATAAATCGCACCAATGAGAGCCAATCAGATTGCAAAGATCATGGGTAGTTTCAAAATGGATGTAATAGTGCAATCTAGCAATCGACATAAATTCACATGCTTGCACGTGAAGTTCTTCGAGTGATAGTATACTGGGACAGGTACGAATCGATCAGCGGTTTGGGAGTAAAGCGACTCAAACTGGGTACGAATCGATTGAATATAGGTACGAAACAACCGTGGGTATGAAACAACTGGGTACCACTAATATCTAAATTCTTAAAATATGAATGCCGTTCACGCTTCACGCAAACGCGGTGCTAAGTCTCTCTATTCTTGAACCCTTAACGTGTGGTTTGAGGGCAAGAGTGACCACGTGACCTTGTTTTTCCCGTCATTTTTCACGTTTGCCGGTTGCGCTTTGCCGTTTCTACGTGAGCGTAACTTGTTTCGCTCTTGCCGTCTACGTAAGTTCTCTTCACTTTTTCTCTCATCGAGTAGTATTCCTTGTAAGTCATTTAGGAGCGCCTTCAAATCCACTATGACGTGAGCCCACGCGATTCTCAGTTCTTGTCCAGGTGCGTTTGTGATGGTTTTAATCGGTAGTAATTTTTGCGGGGTTAAACATGTCTGTTTCCTGAAACCACTTTGGAATATGTTTCTCGTAACCACAATGGGAAAGGTATAAACCGGTGCTTATTTTGAGGTTTCGTTTGTGATTCAAGTTTAGATTTTTTGTTTATACTGTTGAAGAGCAGAGAGTGTACCGCAAAACAAAAGTTAGGAAACTCCAACAGGCGTTGCAAAGACTTTGCGTAAAGGATTCCGAGGTAACAGTTATAGGTGTTAAGCAACCATGGAAAAGGCAAGAAAATAAATAAAAGTTGGTTGCCTGTCCTGCTAAATGCAATGGTATTTTTCTCTTTAGATGTCAGTGGTTTGGAACCATTTAATCGGAAGGGAGAGGCACACAATTTAAGTCAGCGGTGGTAGATGGAAGCGAGCGTTTGATTTGTACGTGACGGTAAAAGGTGTTTCGAACGACGCTCAAAAGCGAGCTCTTCTGTTGCACGTTGCTGGTATGGACGTTCAAGAAATTTATTTCACATTAGCCGGTGATGGCGAGGATGTGAGTTTTCAAACAACACTTCAGGTACTTGACAATTATTTTGTTCCCAAGTCAAACGTTCCTTTTGAGAGACATTTGTTTAGACAAATTTCGCAGGAGAGTGGAGAAACTGTGGACCAGTTTGTGTTTGTGTGCAGATTGCGTCAGCGAGCAGCGACTTGTGAGTTTGGCTTGTGAGTTTAGCGTCAACGAGGACGACTACATTCGGGATCAACTCATAGACAAGTGTTACTCCAGCCACTTGAGCCTGAAGTTCCTGGAAAAGGAAGGGACTGTTACTTGGGGTGATTTGTTGCGGGTTGCGAGATCTCAAGAAGCAGTTGATAGACAACTGAAACAATACAACACAGACCAGGTAGACCAGGTCAATGCAGTGAGTGGAAAAGTGGATGGAAACAAGAATCCCAGAAAAGTGAATACGTGCTTTAGTTGCGGACGGGAAGGACGCTTTAGTCAGGATTGGAGGTGCCCGGCGCGAGGTCAGACTTCCGGGAAGTGCGGTACGATAGGCCATTTCAAAGTCAAATGCTCCCACTCCATCAGCGAGGCGGCGCCCAGTCGGGATCCAAAGGAACGAGGAATAGCAGAGGTGGACATGGTGGGGTGGCAGAGGTGCTGGTGGATTTGGTCGGGGTGGACGTGGACGCGGAGGACTAGGGCAAGAGGCAAATCTAGTGACTCGAGGACCTGCCCCCCGAGAACACAAAAAAGATTTTGCAACACCAGGTCGTCAGTCAAGACCCGATTATGCCTTTTCAGTAGAACAGTTAGATGACCACAGGGAAGAAAGAAGTGCGTTGGTAACGCTGATCATCGGTGGTGTGTACGTACCAGATGTTCTTATTGATTCGGGAGCTTCATGTAATATTATGGGACAGTGGACCTGGGAATTTCTAAAGCAGAAGGGGATCAAGTGTGAATCTCGGACGTCTGCGAAAGAAATTTTTGCTTATGGTGGCGTAGAACCTTTACCAACCCTTGAAACTTTTACAGCAGATGTCACGCAAGTTGGGTGTGGGTTTAAAGACGGAAGTAAGGCTGACTTCATAGTGGTTGAAGGCGATGGTCGTACGCTGTTGGGTCGCGAAGCTGCCGAGGTGCTGAACCTGCTGCGTGTTGGTCCTTTTCAGGCAAACAGTGTTGACGGAGGACGACCAGACGGCAGTGTTAGAGAAAAATACAAGGAGTTATTTAGTGGTGTTGGTCTTTTGAAGGGTTACGAATTAAAACTGCATGTTGATGAGCCAGTGAAGCCTGTAGCACAGCATGTACGCAGGATTCCTTTTGGGTTGCGAGAGAAGGTTGATGCAAAGCTTGATGAACTTTTGAGGCTGGATATCATAGAGGAAGTGCCGGAAGGACCGTCAGGATGGATATCGCCATTGGTGGTTGTTCCCAAAGGTGACGGTGACGTGAGGGTCTGTGTTGACATGCGCGCGAATGAAGCAATCGTCAGGAAGCGGCATCCAATTCCAACCGTCGAGGAGCTGTTACATGACTTGAATGGAAGTGCCATGTTTAGCAAGATTGATCTCAAGTGGGGTTTTCACCAGATCCTGCTCAGCGAAGAAAGTCGTGACATCACTAGTTTCGTCACGCACCGAGGGCTGTATCGGTACAAGCGGTTGATGTTTCGGGTGACATCGGCACCAGAAAAATATCAGCAAATTATCAGAGACGTGTTAAGGGGTTGTGCTGGGGTTGCCAACATTGCGGACGATCTTATTGTTCATGGAGATGACGTGGAGGAACACGACAAGCGTCGTTTTGCAGTGTTGGAAAGGCTGAGTGAAGTGGGGTTGACGGTGAACGGAGACAAGTGCCAGTTTAGGTTGTCGAAGCTTACGTTCTTTGGCCATGAGTTGACTAGTGACAGTATAAATCCATGCCGCTATTAGAGATGCAAGACCTCCCAAAGACGCAAACGAAGTACGATCGTTTGTGGGTATTGTCCAGTATTCTTCGAAGTTCATGCCAGACGTAGCGTCCGTAGCGAAGCCTATTCAAGAGTTGACCAGGAAGGGCGTCGTGTTTCACTGGGGAAATGAGCAACAAGCAGCTTTTGAGGAACTAAAGCGTCTAATCACCCAGGCGGAGACACTGGCTTATTTTAAGGTTGGCTGCAGAACGCGAATCATTGCTGATGCATCCCCAGTTGGCTAAGGGGCAGTTCTCACCCAGCAGCAGGGAGGCATGTGGAGAGTTGTCTCGTACGCATCAAAGAGCTTAACTGACGTCGAACGGCGCTATAGCCAAACGAAGAAGGAAGCGCTGGCCTTGGTTTGGGCATGTGAACGGTTTAACATGTATGTTTCTGGACAGGACTTCGAGTTGGAGACCGACCACAAGCCTCTGGAGCGTATCTACTCCAGTACTTCGAGACCTTGCGCCAGGATAGAGAGATGGGTCTTAAGGCTACAAGGGTACGATTTTAAAGTACTGTACCGCCCAGGAATGACTAATATTGCTGTATCAACTAGAGAGATTGAGGAAGCTTCCTATCATGACGAGGAATTGGTGAACTCTTACTTCGGGGCACAAGGATTGTGGTTCCCAGGCTCTTGCGCAACAGGATGGTGCGGTTAGCACACGAAGGGCACCAGGGTATAGTCAAAACGAAGTATCGTCTCCGCAGTAAAGTTTGGTGGCCAAGAATGGACAAAGACGTTGAGAAGCTTTGTAGAGTTTGTCATGGCTGCCAGGTCACTTCTGGATTTGACCCCCCAGAGCCGATGTCTCGCGTTTTTCCTCCAAGTGCCCCTTGGCAGGACTGTGGAGCAGATCTACTTGGACCCCTACCCACAGGAGAGAGTATTTTGGTGGTGGTCGATTACTATAGTCGATTCTTAGAGGTTGCTATAATGAGGTCTACGACAAGTTCCAAGGTCATCGAAGCACTTGCACCCATGTTTGCAAAGTTCGGTTTTCCATTCTCGCTAAGGACAGATAATGGCCCCCAATTCGTGTCTGAAGAGTTTAAAGCCTTTTTACGTACGAATGGTATCGAACACCGGAAAACGACTCCATTGTGGGCACAAGCCAATGGAGAGGTAGAACGCCAGAATCGCTCATTATTGAAATGCACACAGATCGCACATTTGAAAGGAAGGAACTGGAGAACTGAGTTCCTAGTATGGTTGACGGCGTACAGATCCACTCCGCAAACGACGACAGGGACTACACCCTGTTATATGATGTTTGGTCGCGAAATGAGATCTAAGCTGCCAGAGCTAGAGAGAGAGACAGTTGGCGTGCCAGGTGAGGAAGCGCAAGAGCGAGATTGGTTAAGTAAATTAAAGGGAAAAGCTTACGCTGACCTTAAGAGGGGTGCCACGTCCAAAAGCATAAGTGTTGGCGACACGGTTCTTGTGAAAACAGAGAAAACCAACAAGCTGTCTACCAACTTTAACCCTGATCCCTTTAAGGTTGTTCCTAAGACGGGGTCAGAGGTAACGCCTAGGAAAGAGACTGGCATTGAACTGAAAAGAAACACTGTGTTTGTAAAGAAGTATAACGAGCACGGAGATTTATCCAATGGCAACGAAAACCAAGTGGTACAGGCAGGTTCTGCAGTAGGGGTGGATGACCCAGGGGCAAGCAAAATTTCAGAGACGACAGTCGTACCGATGCCAAAAGAGATTCCTGGAACGTGTGAAGATTCTCAAGAACAACCTAGGCATTTCCCAGACAATGAAAATACCGGAGTGGAAAGGTCTGTTCGGAGGTCGACCCGGACTGTAAGACCGCCCGATCGTTATAAAGCCATATAAACTGAATATGAACTGAATATGATATGAACTGAATATCTTGGACTTCTTGTCCTTTTATCGAGCGACTGGTTAAATTTAAAGGTTTCGATTTGTATCTTGAACATTTAGGAAAGGAGGGAATGTAGTGTATAGGATGCCAACGAGCATGTAATATGCGCGATGTAACGTGATGCGTGGTGTGATGTAATACCCTCGAGACCTGCATATATATACAGCGTGTGTCTAGTTATTTAGCTAGTTCTCTTGGGTACGTGAATAAAACCGATTTCATTTAAACCGCTGTGTACTACAATCCCCTCATTCGTAAATGTAAAAATTCTTCATTAAGTGTGTCAAAATCTGGAATGAGATACCATATGATTATAAAAAATTGTCGAATTCATTCAAAAACGAAACAAAAAGAGCTCTTCTCAATATTCTAGATACCGAACATACTTATATTGAGCCTGATGAGATAACGTTAACATTCAAACACTGTAAAATTGAAACAAATTGAACCAGTTCTACGATATTTTCAGTTCACTTACAAACTCAAAGAATTTTTCTCTTTTACCGTGAACATCTTTCATTTTCCTTTTTCTTTCCCTCTGTATATTTAGTGTATCATTTCTTCATTCCGTTTTATTTCCAGTATATTTAAGTAAATAAGTAGAAAAGTGATCCGCCTCGATTAACATCTATCTGCTGATCAAAGGAATTTTTGTATGTTACATGAGAAAATTTGTGTTACACATGAGAAAATAAATAAAGTGAGAAAGTGTGAAAATGGCATACCTGAAATAATTTGTATCACACATATTACTTTCAAAGAGATAAAAAAACCGTTGTATGTTGACAATCGTAGGCATTTTTCGATACTTAGATCTTCTGACAAATTCTTCCTTGTGAAAACGTGTTTAATGTTTAATCTTGTCCTGAGTTTCATATTAAAAGCCAAGCATGGGTGTAGAAACTCTTTGCTAATTTTTCAAAAACAAATTTTTTTTATCTTCTAAACGTTTGACCGCTACCTTGGAATTTGTTTTCGAACCTCCTGTTTAGTAACCATGGGGTTGTCATAGGAGGCCCGCAAAACGTGGCCATCCGCATTACTTTACATGCTTATTCCTTGCTTTTAACACTTATAGTACATTCAATTTTACTTCGGCATTATTCAGATCATTACTTGTGAAAGACACGCTCAATTGAGACGAGCTTCACTACCTTCCCACCCCCCCCCGCCTCTTTTGTGGTACTCAAGAACTCTCTATGCCGACAAAGTGTTTCCAGACTCCGTAGGGCGCAATAGAAGCGAGTGAGGTAATCAGAGTCTGGAGTTCGAAATACACCCAAATTTTTTAGGTAGCCAAATAACCTCTCCCTGAGTAGTATTGGGAATCGGTGATTAAAGAATTTCTCTTGATTGAACTGGCTTGGGGTCCGAGTAATTCCCTCCAAGGATACTGTTTGTGCTGGCTCAACATTCCTTTTCATTGAAATGTTGACAAGTCACTCAATTTTCCTCGTCAATGTTTTACTCTCTAAAATTGGTTTTAAGAAAAACAAATTACACCGAGACAAAGAGGAGCCAGGAACCCGTTGAATGGATGCTTTGTCTCTGTGGCATAATAGCCCCAGTAAGAGATTTTCCCGTTAAGACCACAGTCTCGGTTAATAAGTAGTCAACTGCAGCACATTCTAATGCTGTATTTCATGCTCTTCATGTGATCGGCTCATTCCTCATGCCACCTGACTATAAGAAAGTCTTCAAATAACATCACTGCTTATTCTAGTTGTCCTACTACTCTCTTAGTTTTGGTGGTTTTGATGTCTCTCTTTTTCCAGAATTCGGTTAATTATTGCCATTTGGTATACCTGAGTTTTGTCCCTACTCCTTTTTGGCCCTCTTATAAGGGTTATTTGCGGCTGAGTTTTGAGGCGTCAGCACGGTAATCGGGAGGACACACTCTCGCACGAATGTTGCCGACAGGACTGTCTTCATCTCAAACCAAGTGAACCAAATACATGTATCTTTACTTACTTGTATGAGATGTTAATACTTTAAAACTTTATCCGTATCCCTAACTTTTACCAACTTGATATGCTCAGCAATCTACACCCATCTTGGGTATCTCCCCTTTCCTAGCCCTTGATGCTTATGGACATTTACATTGACAAGAAAATCATCTTTTGATAACAACCTTCACTTCTTAGACATTTTTGAAGCTAATGATGACTCTCGTTTATTCTTCTTTCAAGAGAAGTTTTTCCTTTACAATGAAACTGCAACTTCCTCATCGCCTGGTACGCAGTGAGTAATTAAAACAAAAATAACAACTATAATTTTTTTTTTTCCACAGGAACTCATTTGGAGCCGTCAGGAACATGAACCATATCTTTGTCTTCCCCACAAGGACTGGAGAAATAAAAAAGCAATAGTTTCATTACAAAGGTTTGGGCAGAACCAGTGGTCACACGCCAGAACAAATAAGCCACCACGTACTATGAATTCCTAACGAAAATCTGACGTAATGTCTCAAATTCGAAATATATCAGATACTGTGATAAATTCAGTATCTATAATGATTGAGAAATAGTGAGGAATTGATCCCCTTACTACAGAACCAAACTATGATTTACTTTAAATTAACGATTTAACCCTCACCCTGGCTATTTCACTTTTCAAAGCAGAATTCTTAGATCTCTCTTGCTCTAATTCAGCATGTAACTGCACCACCTACCACGACAAACTCATATCAATAAAATGAACCAAACATTTGATGGGATTTTTAGTTTTCAAGCGCCTTCAAATGCCAAAATCAAATGAAATATTACAGTTTGTTTTTGAAAGGTACAAGACGACTCATACAATTTAATTTGTTTCAAATTCAAACTAAGTAATGTATAATAAAGAACACAGAGGAAACCTCTTCATTTTGATTTTTTCCGGCTTTCGCGAACAAAAGTGCACGGCTTGTGACGTTTTTGTGGGAACAGTCCGTGTAGCAAAATCCTAACTAAGTAAATACCAATCAGAACGTTTGGATTTACCGCAGGACTACCTTCCCATGTAATTTATGCATTTTCAACTAAATTATAATCTTAAAGTTGATCATCTATGGTACATTTTCACGTTTTGTTATGATTTATGTGTTGTTTCTAAATAAACTTACAACTTGCTGAAAATGGTGAATGGTTAATAACAGCCCAGTCTCAAATAAGCGCCCACCTCGAAAAAATTGCCCACTCTCAAGGTACAAAAATTCAATTAGCGCCTAGAGCACTTAAGGGAATGTACACGGTAGTTGAAAGAAAGCAAGTACTATTTAGTCTTTACCTGTTCTTTTACTTCATTCAATTCTTCAATTTGTGTCAGCAACTCAGCCTTTTCTTTCACTAAAGGTTGCAAAAATTATAATCCATCAATTACTTTTACTCGCGCGCATTTGATGAATAAACATTACGTGGCCAAATGTGCAAACCTGAAACGGGGGAATATCAGGCCTTATAATCTATCAAATATTTTTGCTAGCGCACGACTGGTCTAAACGCATCACATCATCGAGTATGCTCCAGCTACAACTGAGGAATATCCGAGGATATACCCAGAGTGAAATCAGTTTCCCAATTCTCAAGCCTTATGTTCAAAACAGAAAGCTATTCCTTTAAAAATTTAATTCAACACGAGAGGCCGTCGTGTGGTTGTTATAAAAGAAGGGACATGTTATTTTTGTTCATGAAGTCGTACCTGAGAAAATTGAAAAGTGAACATCCAACGCCGTAAACAGTTAGCTGTCCGTAAGCATTTTTCAGGAGCGTTGAAAAATATGGGAAGGATACTAAACACAATAGCCTCTACTTAGCGCGAAAGTATACTCGTATATTTTTCTCTAGACATTATCTTTCCCTGTAGCCCACTTTTCCACGAGCTTCGCTTGCGAAAAATTGTTCGCACCTCGGATCAGATAAGTCCGCTGACAAATATCGGAGCTTGTTTTTTTCTCAAACACCTCAGCGGTCCGGAATCCTAATCCTTGAATCTGATTGGCTAGTTTCGTGCGTTCCAGCGGTCTGGATTTTTTCCGAAGAGATGAACCAAATAGTGGAAGCCATAGAAGGTCTCATATCTATCACTGACGATATACTCATACACGATACAACGCAAGCAGAACATGACTGAAGACTCTAAGAGGTACTAAAGAAACTTGGGAGTGCTGGAGCAACCCTTAATGCTGAAAAATGCGAATTTCCAAAAAGAGAAGTCAAGTTTGCCGGATACGTTCTTAACCAACATGGAATTATGTCCGATCCGACGAAGACGGATTCTATCCGATCTTGAGGTCTTGAGTACTGTTCTCAGCCTACGGCCTCGGGCGGTACAGTTTACCCAACATTTACACAGCAGTTTACCCCAATACAGAGGGAGGTCTGGTGAATAATGTATATGTATTTTCGCACCATAACATAATTAACAATTACTCCACGAGCGCGCGTGGAATAATTGTTTTATTAAAAACGCCCCCAAGATATTAGTCAAATTTTAATTTTTTCAGCTTTTAATTTTAAGCTGACGCGTACGCTTACCATATTTGTAGATTATGGTATATTGGCTTATATACCATAATGGCTAAGCCGATAAAAAATCTTGAATTTCATTATCCAATGATCCAGTTTTTAATAATTTGACAAATTAAATTATTATTCTATTATATTATTCATTTGTAAACTTACAGCACTAGTCTGTAATTTTCCAATAAATTGTCTAAGCCCGTCCCTGGGATTCTAGATCGACCTTAAAAATTCTGAACCAGGCAGAAGCGTACCATCTTGTTTTAAGGAACGTGCACACGTTAAAAAAATCGCGTTATGCCCTGTTTGCTTTGAAAATGAGAGGGATTGAGCGTATAGTTCATATTTTAAATGACAGTAAGGACTCCTGTCAGAGGGGCTGTATGAGCACCCAGACCGATCAAATGCTGAGATAATTTGGTTTTATCAACTGAGTTAATGACGTAAATTAT